TAAATACAGGAACAAACTGTATTTAGAGCTCCATGAAGCCTTTTTGTGGTTAATTAAAATAAAATTTAAAATTTATCTGTAATGTGCCAATAGTGAGTGGGCCCATACTGCCTCAGCAGTCAGGTCAAGGGGTAATATCTATCTAGGCAGGGCATTTTCATTTAATTTATATTATTTAGTTTCTATTATTATAGTATGATAAGTTTGCTATTTTTGACCACTATCTAATTCAGAACGTCTGCTTTTCTTGTGCCTTTATTACACCAATACCTCCTGGCTTAGATAGCCTAGACTTCTCAGTTTTAAGCATATCTATCTCAACTTTCCTTCCGAATTACTGCAATTAAGTTTCACACACTGCCGCCTGCTTCTCCAATCATGCTTGAGAGATTTTAGTAAGTAAAAGTCTCACACTGTGGCTCTCGATGGTTTTCAACTACAGCTAAGAAAAAGAAGAAATCAAAGCAATATGTGTTATTACTTAAATATTATTACATGTAGTTTAGATAGTTGTTGTTGTTGTTGTGATTTGAGTTAGTGTGCTATTGCGCACTTTTACTCTATTGTGACTGGGGGGCTTATCTCTGCGCCACACTAGACTTTAACTATACTAGAATCATTATCACTTATTTATTTTCTAACTGATGACGCACCGTAGATCAGCATATCTTCCTGTGCGTCCTGAAGTGGACTTAAGGTTTGTTAGAGCGGGGTTGAGCAACGTATCAACTTTTTTGAATAATTTTAGAGCTCTGTTCTTGATATACTTTTTCACTGAGTCGATTCTTAGATCTCTAAGAATCTAAGAATAATTTAACTAATTATTCATTATATGAGTTCAATGTCTACTCGTGCATTTGCTAGAACAATACCGTTTCAATGACGATGTTTTGCTAAAAAAATTCTTATTAATGAAGTGCATACTTCGCTTGATAGATATCTTAACATACATAAGTCAAAGATAATGTACAAGTAACTATCAAAACATCGTTATATCAAAAACCAAAATTTGATGGCATATAGTGGTATTGCATTGTAGTCTGGAGTTGTAAGGGGTCCATAATTTTTTTTTAAAAAAGAAGATACTATACCAACCATCAACTTTGATATTTCTATAGGCTGCAAATCTTTTTGTCGTGAATTTAAAAGTATGGACCTTTTAGATGTGTGCTTACAGAATGGCGGTACCACAAAGTAAACAACTCATCTTGTTAAACTTCTCGGATTCCAGACGGAAATAACTTTGATCCCAGAATTTGTCAGATCTTGTAAATTATCCGGACGTGTACGTTCATGTTTTAGAGATATGAATATGCCACCAAGATTATAAAATTTGTTGCCACAGAAGGGTTTTTGTTTTGCGATTACCTAAATGATCGTGTTGATACAAACATGTCGCAAAATCAAAATACTCAGAATTTGACAATGAATATTCGCCAAGTAAATGCACCTCTTTCGAAATTATTTGCTAGTTGATCACCAAAAATAACGTAAAAAGGAATTAGTGCTACTGTTATGCAAGATTGAAACATTTTACTGAAATAAAAATTTGATGAAAATTTAAATTTAATTTGTATGGAGTTAACTAGGCTAGATTATTGGATGAAATTCCTATAATATTTTTAGAAATGTACTAATTCCAATTAATTTCTTAAGCAGAAAAAAAAATGTATCCTACTGTTAATAATTACTGGAATAGAAAGAAGTTAAAGTAATAAATCAATTACCGTTCAGCAGCAGGTAGGCTTTTCAAATAAAGAGCAAGGGCAAATTAAAAGGACTTACTTTGAAACCGCAAACTGACGACGTTTTTGGGAAAACCTGAAATAAAAATATTATTTCACTTGTCATCAGCAAATTAAAAATAATAGGCACGTGTATAGAAATAAACTGACACCAATAACAACGAGAAGAACGAGGAAAACAATCCTTAACGAATAAATCCTAAGAAGTCTTGCGAAACCCACAGAAAATAATAGAAAAAAAACATTGAGAAAAACCTGCAAAGAAAAATTTTGGATTACGTAGCGAAAATTTATTTGTTCACATTGAGTAAACCCACACATACCGTCTTTCTTCCTAATCTAATCCCATAAGAACAATAACAAAATTCGTGAAAAGATATTTTAACTATGCGCTCGGGGTGCGGGGTGTTGATGTGTTAACAAGTGTTGCGCTAATTGATTCCAAGCTGTGTTACTTCCTCCAGTGTATGAACAGCTGTTATTATCTTGGCTGTTATTGGAAAGGAGTAACTTTAAAGGCATGATAACCTGATAGATGTAGGCCGTTACCTGCTGTTACGGAAATGAATACTTGCACAAATTTAATTGGTAGGCGTTTATTGTCTCAGGTCTTAAAGTTGAATATGCTTGAAGTCGATGTCGTGATGTTTGGAAGGGTATTCATTTTAATGCAGTAGATAAGGACAGATTACAATACAACTTATACAAGTTATTGTAACTAAACACAGAAATAATAAATATATATTTTTTAACTTTAACAAACGGAATAAATAAAATTAAATACAAAGCAAAAAAATGAATAAATAAAATAAAATAAGACAAAAATAAAATAAAACAAAACAAAATAAATTCAAATAAAATTAAGTTAATTTAATTTAAATTAAGTTAATTTAATTTAAATTAAGTTAATTTATTTTAAATTTAATTAAATCAAATTAAGAAAATCATTTTAAATTAAACTAATTTTCAAATGATTTTGTATAATTTATATGGTATAATCTATATATTTATGTGATCCTTAATTTTAATTTCAAATCAGAATATATTTTATGAAAGGTATAGCATTTTTTTTGTATATATAATTGACATTGAAACATTTTTTGTTTTTTATTTAATCCATCACAATACTTAATAATTCGGCTTCTCAGCGCGCTAGCTGGACTTATGTGTCTAACTCACATGGGTTCCAGAACACTGTCCATGTGAACATCTCGGGCATGGTATATGAGTTAACCAAAACAGGCACTCGATTTTCTGATATTACTATTTCGGATATTGGCATCCCATTGGTATCGGCCAAGCTGGGAATTATAATACAATATTCGAGTATAGCTAAACAAACTTGGTCATATGTAAACTTCTGTCTAATCTAAAGATCTGGCAAAAGAATATACCAGTCAACTGCTTTAACTGAAGCGAAACCTGTTCAGCAGTATGGTAACGATATTGACAGATCACTACGTACTAAGAAAATATATCATGAGACTTAGTTTACTCTATAATGACATTTGTCATGGTTGTGGCTCTAAAGAGGACGAAGAATCTCTGTTTCATCTTCTTTACCAATGCCCATATTTAGTAAATGGAAGTTTGAACATTTTTGCGACACCTTTTCTTATCGATCACTGTCACTCTGCAAAATTCTGAAGACCGCTGTGATTTTTTTGAAGACTTTTTGATCTGCGTATCAACAACGCTAATCTGTGGTATTATAGTAATGTGTCATTATTAATATGACCTATTTCTTTTTAATTTTATATAAAAAATAAAATTAAAATAATAAAAATTTTGTTGCTGCAATTGACCACGGTTCTAAACCTCTCTATAAGTATTTAATATAAATATGTTATTATTTTTCTTAATATATTTATTAATATAAGTACCGCTGCTTCGGGAGAACGTCCTTGTGACTTAACTTGTCACCTAGATCACAGGTTAAATCATTAGATCTATAATAAATGGGATAGGGAAAAAGTCACTATAGAATGGAAAATGTGTTCTGGGCTAAAAAGTTTGCTTATTATGAACAATTATACGATACGCAGAAGTGTTGAGATTATAGATTAATCAAGATTATTAATATGTATTTTATATTTGGATTTGCACCTCCAACCTTATAAAAATTCAGCTATTGTAAGTACTGAAGTCTGTTGATTTTATTCGCGTGATTCTTATAAAAACATGCTTCTCTGAAATACCATACTCAACCGTAAATTACTTCATTTATATAATAATAGTCAGTAAAAGCAATCCTAATGGTTCGTTCTCTTTTCTTAATTTTTATTTTAGTCACATATCGCAAACTGTTAAAATGATAATACCTGCATGAGTTCACCACATGAATTTTGAACTATTATTGACGCCCTCTTACTGGTTTTAAATTCCAGAATTTCCTTGGTATCCAATGACTTCATCGTACGTACACTTGTTTTTCTTTGGAATTGTGTGTATAAAACAGCTGCCAATTTTCTAATTAAGTCAAGCCCATATCTTGAAGGTTGCTTAACTGTTTCCTGACTTTTAACCCTTCAAACAAATTTTCTGTTAATGTGACTTAAGTGAATGTTTTGATAAGCGATCTGCTGGTTATCGTATTTAACCTGCCAACATGTTTTTTATGTCATCTAATTTTCTCGTTCACTAATTTCAAACCAAATGTCGAACACTTTTTTATAACCACTAAGAAGGCATTTTACCATAATAAAAAATTCAATAAATAAAATTTTCGAATTTATAATTTATTTATTGTTATTACTTTTTCATCTGTCAAAGAAGAAATTCAAAGACTTCAACGTCTTCGAATTGGAAAGAAAAGCAGTCTTCTCAGCTTCAAAATAAGTGAGTAGTAAATATCTATTAGAACATCTTGTAAAAAAATAATTATTTAGTATAAATTAAAAAAATTATATTTGTTTGATTTCAATTTATTTATTTATTAGTCAATTTTTTTAATTAAAAATTTATTTATAATAAAAATTAATAAAAATGAACTACAGAACTACATAACAGCAGATCGAATAGAATCTCTTTTTGTACAAAAATATTTAAAATAAAATTTTTTGGTTATAAAAAATTATTAAATAATGCAAAAAATAATTAACTAAGTTTTAAAAAATATATTTACATTAACTTAAAAACTAAAAGCGTAATAAGCGAGCGTTTTCCCCTCGTTTGTCAACAAAAGCAACAAAAATGTTTTTATTCTTAAAACAAAATGAAAATTGTCAGCAAATCCTTAAAATCGTCAACATAAATTTAAACGTATATCGAAGGTAACGCCACTCCGATTTCAAAATAATTTTTAGCATCCACTCTTGATTTCTTAGGGGTTACAGTCTGCATCTCTGTTTCTTCCTCAACTCTTCTGCGTCTTTTCTGTGTTAAAGCTTTTACAGGAGTTTCAAGCTTAAAAGTATTAGTAGAATCATTTCTGACATTTCTTCTTAGACAAGATATCGATCTCGGTAGAGGTGTAGGCATTTGACATAATACAACATCTGATATCGGTGTACCTGGTAAAGGTGTCGCAGGATCAGGCGTACTTAATGTTGATGAGAGTGAGATTTTTGGTGTGACTGCAGTAAAAGATTTAGTGTTCGCCACAGGTTCAATAAGCAAAAATGTTAAATCACTTGCAGGATCATCTCCAGCAGCATATGATGGTGACAAAATAACTTCACTCATATTTTCAGCCTGATTTTTCAATAAAGTACGTCTTCTGAGATTAAAAGATTTACGCGTTTTCTTCTTCTTTTCATCTTTACGTGCTGATTCAAGTATCGCATCGATTAAATGATCCAAAGTTTGATCGCCCATTTTAGATGAATGCAAGTTTGTGGCATTAACTTTTGGTGTGATCTTAGTACTATTTTCTTGTTCTTTAGCGATTGCTACAAATTCCTGCTCCAAATTTCGTTTTGGCAACGATTTTGTAAAATTCGTAGCATCGAGTCTACCAGTACGCTGTTGTTGTGTTAGTTCTGGTGTAGTGAAATAACGTGGATTTCCCAGAAATGGATCAGGTAATAAGCCACGTAATGCTAATTGTTGTCCAGTTGGTAGCACAGTACTTGGTGAATATTCCTCCTCATATTTTGGTAGGGTAGAAGCATAATTTGGTAGTGCCGATAGTGTGAAACCTACAGTTGAGTGTCTACGATTTGGTGGCATTGTTGTTGTTTGTGCTAATAACGCTGCATCTATTCTACGTCTTTCGTTACTACGTGTTGATCTCGATTCTGGTGTCACATTTAATATATCAGCTAATGGAGTTAAAACTAATGGACTGTTACGTAGTCTTGGTACCATTGGTGTTGATGTACACGGTATATTTTCCTTATTTGCAATCGTTGCTCGACGACGTTTTCTTTTCGCGTCAATTGTGCGCTGCGTACGCATTGCCATCGTCGTTGTACCGGCATTTGTTGCAGTTGCATGAATAATTTTCTGCGCTGACGCTGTCCACTTTAACATGTTCCCGAAATTTTACATACGATTTGAATTTAATTTATATTTACGGGTTTTACTAACCACTCACATTGACAATTGCTGACAAACTAAACTTTACCCCTAAAGTGAGCTACTTTTATACTCGCTCTCTACCGGTACGAACTTAAGGGATGTTCCACTGTTTACGAAATTTGATTAATGTGTCTACTAGTGGTGTGAGCTCTATAAAGTATAAATATATAGATTTTTCTCTTTACATTAGTGTACCTCGGAATTTTCTCTTTAAAGAAGTGAAAACAGTAAATTAGAAGAAAATGTCCTTAGTGATGGTTTGAAAGTAATACACTGTAAAAAATTACAGTGAATAAATTATAGAATTCTTTTAAGAATCTATTTAATAATATAATGAATCATTAGAATCAATCTATATCGCTCATGCTGCACTTACTTCGAACCTTTAGAAAAAGTGGAAAACTTTTGTAGACTCCGTGAACTCCTAATAGAATATGAAAATAATATATATAATGGCATTAAATTATTTTAATGAAAACTGTTTCTTAAACTATATAGCATATTTTAATAAGACTTAGCTTATAAACAAGTTATTGTAATTATAGATTATTTTAATTATAATTTATTTTAATTATAATTTGAATAATAATTAAATAAATTAATAGTTATGAGGAAGCAAAAATATGTGTAAAAACAATAACAATTAAATAAAGCTAATCACATATAAAAAAATACTGTTATGGTTCAGTAAAGAGAATATTTGATATAACATACATGATAACATACATACATAACATACATGATATAATATATTTCTACGTCATTGATGACGTTTAACAACGAACTTTTGAAAACTCATACAATCCTTATAGTTAACATCTTGCAATATAGCTTTCGGAATGTAATTCGTTTGAAACCTAGGCTTCTTCAAATGGAAATCTAAAAATGAATGGTTTCGAAATTGTAAAAAACAATATATGTGGTGATAGAAGCTTCCAAACTAGCAATGGGTTAATACGTAGATTCAAAAAAAAAAGATTTGGAATTCGTTTTTTTTGAGAGATCAGGTATACTCATACATAAGTTGTTCAGTTATTTTCTAGTAATGGTTATTTGACTAAATAGAAGAAAATATTATTTGTTTCGAAACAGTTTTCAATGCGAATGAGAGTGGGCTTTATCTTAAAATGTCACCAAACTCTAGATTGGTGCAACCTTGAAAGGCAAGTTCTCAAGATATCTAAAAAGTTGCTTATGTGCTACATTTCCACCATAAAATAAGGCACTTATAATGGAACTCCAATGTTCTAGTTGAGGAAATCAGTACCGTTTACGAAAGTTCATCGTCTGAACTGATGCTGAAGGATAATTTAGTGACACAGAATTAGCTATTCTAAAAATAAAGCACTGTGATTCTATTAGTAAGATTAGTATATGCGTCAATTGAGCTGAAGAAAATGTTGTAGAACACTATAATGTATAACTTCTGAACTCAATTTGATTATGAAAGTGTCTGAGCGTGACAGATTGATTCTAATAAAAAATACATTTAGCATAGGAACTTAAAAAGTCTAAGTAACATACTCAATAACTAATTTTAGTTTTCAAATAAATGCTTCAACATTATTCTATTTTTCAGTGTACCTCATATTTTCTATATGAACATTAATTTCTCCCTCATATAAATTTCAAACAACTGAGAGTATTTTCTATATCTTCTCTTTACTTTTTTGAGACTGCAATCCAAAAATAAAAATAAAAATTTCCTGCGACATTTCGTTGCACAAGATTGCATGAGAACTACTCTCAGGTTTATTACTTTTATTGCAAGTTCCGATGTTGAGCAAATCCACTTCAAATTGCCTCACAATTCTTTCACAATCATTCCGACTATTCCTTTTCTGTTCTCGTACCATTTTCAGTTAGTTTTGCACTGATAAAAATCTGCGGGTTAATAATGTTTAGTTATGTCCTCATACAGGAGCTCTTTCGTATCTCGATATAGTTTGTCTAAACTTATGACTGCAAATAGGGAGTCCTTTACAGATTATATCTTTCCAATGAGCGGCAGCAATAAAAAAAATTAGGATGGCAAGGAAGTGGTTTTGTCCCTTAATTTAGTAAAATTCTAAATTTTTTAAAACAACAAATTAGGGTGCTAGGATTTTTACATTATTTGATAATGAATGACATTTTTTTTATGGCAATAGCAAGAGTTTTAAACACAGATACGAGTATGTATAGTCGAAGGAGTTGTAAAAGGAGCAACAGGATTTTTGCGTGTTAAAATGTAGTTAATTACATTTTTATTTGAAAGGAGAATATTTTTAATTAAAATTAATTGTGACACTTGCTTCCTGCGTTGATTTTATCTGAAATTGAAACGTTTTAGTGACAAGTTGCTTTTAATGTGAAACTTACATTAAAGGGGCTTGTAATATATATTTTATTAGAGTTGTTGCATTTTTTCATAATAAGATAGAAAATTTTACTTTGTTCATTGTACTGTATGTTAAATAGTTTTAAATATTATTTTATATATAACGTATAATTCTAATAATTCTAATTCTAATAGTAACAATTATTCAGATAATTTCATAGAAATATACTTTGAAACCCAGCATATCTTCCCGACTGAATATGTATTGCATTTGATTTGAAAGAGTAAAATTCTGAATTAGTATCCACATCTACAGAATCGAATAATTTCAGCGCTCTGTCTTTAAAATACTTTTCCACACTTTCGATACTCCAGTTTTGTGTATATCTTTATTTCTAATGTGCCATGGAGCTTTTAGCATACGTCTCTATACAATATTCTGATAAGTTTCAAGGTGTTTAATAGTGAATGAATCAATATTGCTATAAGTTACAAAGTCACAAAGTAATATACGTTCAATTATTTGCTTATATAGCAGAATTTTATTTTTTGTACTTAAGTGTTCTTGTTTTAATAGTTTTAGAGCATTCAGAGTTTTATTATAAACCAGTTTCTTGACGTTTATATTCTCTAATCAAGTAGATTCTCTCCTGTCAAAAGTTAGACCTAACTATTCATTTCCGCTTTCTATTTCCACATTATTGACTTTTATTTTTCTAGGATTTTTAATTTCAACGTCTTGTAATGAACATAGTCTTGATCATTTTAGCATTTACTGTAATTTTCCACCTTCGGAAATAACTAGTTTTGTTATTATTAGCAGAATCAATTAAAGAATATGTATGAATTGGTTGAATATTATTTTTCCAGAAATTATATATAATTTTAATGCCGTTTGACGTTTTGCTCTGATCACAAGACAATAGTCAAAATGGTATTCTTTCGACTCGTCTTTATCTTCATCTCAATAACTTTATTTATACTATATTTTATAACAATTACATATTAATATATTAAACAGTATTGTTTGCTTTAAATGTAACAAAACTTGAGTGGATCGATATCTCTTCAACATATTAGAAAAAACGAATACTCTATAAGCAAATATCTCAATTTAATCTGTTTTGAATAACATATTTTCATATCAAATTAATTTAAAATACATTTAAATAGATACAATTATACCTTAAGTACATATAAGTATCTAGTATCAGTAGAGGGACATTATTTGGAATATTAATATGAAATCAAGTTTTAGATCTATTAAGAAAACATAAATATACCTTTAAAATATGTCTTAATAAAATAATATTTTTATGATTTTAAATACGATATTTGTAGAAACCCTACTTTTGAAAGGAAAGACAGGTAATTTTAGAAAGGTTGTTTAATAGTATATTTCCACTGGCTTCGTTATACCAATTAACTTACTTGAGATTGCTTGAATTGCTTGAATTTCAAGTAAGTTAACTGGTCTAATGAAGCCAGTGGAAACGTACTATAAGATGAAAATGTTTATATATTCATTTGTAGCAAGTGTACTAAAAACACAAAGTTCATATCTATTAATATAAAAATATTCTTTTTTAGCTTTTAAAACCAAGAGACGCATATATCTAGAAGATGATGGGTTGCCTATTTCAGGTCAGCAGCCCCAAGTTAGTCGAAAACTGTTAGAGAATTAAAAAATAGATAAAAAAAAACTTCTTTTATGTCTCACAGTATTATGACTCTCTTACTCTCTCATAAGAAACAAATACTTCATTGGTGAAGATTATGACAATACATATTTTTTAAGTGCAATACAACTTAAGTTTATCTTAACATTGTTAACTACTTGTCTCGATAGTTCCTACAGATTATATGAAATAGTTTTTACGATATTATTAAACTAGTATTTTAATTTGGTAGGTGCTACGCTTTTAAAATCTATTCAGTTGGGTATTAACCAATCCTTATCTTGGATCCTTACTAAACTCGATTTGACTAAACTAAATGTGTTTAGTTTGTAAAAAATATAACTATAAATATTTCCATATTTTGTATTATTTATTCTATTTAACATATCAATAATATGGTCTTTTTGAAAATATCTATATCAAACCTTTTGGTTACCGAAAATCTTTTTATGAGGTGTAGCAGATCACATATATCTTGTAAATAAAGTAGAGAGCAGACGTCAAAGCTCTCCAATTGTGTAAATAATAAGTATATGATACGTTTGGTTGATATATTAGTCCAGAATAGATTAATATACATTATTTAGTTGACTTTCACTATAAGCATACAAGCTATAAGCATTTCTTTCTCCTATATGAACTGTCGTTTCTTACAAAATCATTTTCTCTTTTATTTTAGTGACAATATTTAAAAAAATAAATACATAAGTATATGTTCTATTGTGTATGTATAACAACTACATAATATAAAACTAATATTTTTTATATATATACTTCAAACTTGTAGTTTCAGAAATTCTTCTAAGTAAGTCTCAGCGAATTATTTTCACTCCATTTAACATGTAAATTTGAAGTGTCAATTCTCGTCTAACGAGTGTCAAAATTACTTTGGAAAATCATGTTTTCCTTTTGCTGAAAGTGGTACAAGTCAAGTAGCTTATTT